GTAATTCATCGCTCCAACACAATTCACAACCCAAACACAGTGATGGTCCATCTTAAGTATGCATCTTCCACCTGAAAACCCAAAATGAAACCTTTTTCACGAACTAAAAAAAATCAAACACCACCATATTCGTGTAAGAGAATCACACACTGAAAAGACTTACAGACCGAACAATGGTGAGAACGAGGCGGTTTATATTGATTGCACTTTCTGCAGTATCTTACGATATGACACGAGGAATCTCCAACCGAAATTGATGTGTTAGCTTCTGCAATAGCTTGTTGGTTACCTTCGCTTTTCTCTATGTCTAGTTCTGGCCTCCAACCCGGTGGAACACCACCAGGATCAGTCACAACAACAGAAAAATAACTCCATAATAGCATTACAAGCTACACACAGTCAAAACAATAATCATCACAAGTGACTCTTTTGCTTCTTTTTTTCTGAAGATTCTAAAATGTGTGGAAGTTTAATTGTAGATAATCAATTACAAGATACAAGAAACCAACAGGAGAATCAAAGTCACTCTACAGTCTACACCAAACTAAACCAAAAAGATGATTGTTTCGTCTAAGCAATACATCTGTAGCATTTTTTCCAAATCATTTTCAAACTAGTACAAATAACCTACAAGCTTTGACTTGTAACTAGTGTATGTATAAGAAACCAAAAGATTCAATAGGTATTAACTAAGGCATAATCCGATCTAAGGTACTAAAGATCACATAAGGATCGCAAAAGATTTGAAAGATGAGATTTTGATCTAGAAGAAAATTGAGTTTACCAGAAAGTGAAACATGGCTAAAACCAGAAGGGCTAGTACTGAATCGAAACCGCCGAGGAATAGAGCCGGTCCGTAATTGGCGACTACAACGGCGTAATATGTGAATCCGATGATTCCGATTACGATTAGGATCATGATTGAACCCAAGGCACGAAGCGCTGTGCAGAACTTGAACACGTTCCACGCCATTGAAGGGTTTCTTCACAAAACCCAGAATTTCTAGGTCGAAAAAGAAGAAAACCCTTATCAAATCGAGCAAGAAATTGATCAAATTTAGGAAAATCGAGCTGAAAAATCCATACTTTTCCCTTCAACGAATTGGGTTGTTTCTTACAATTATATCTTTGTCGGGATAAAAATACAAAAAAAATTCGGCAATACTTAAATTGAAATTAACCACACGGTAACTAAGAGCCTTGACACCATTAAAAATTGTTAAATTTTTTAATATTAAAAATATTTAACATCCTTGAGACCTCATTTCATTAAGTTTTACGTATAGAACTTTTTCATCAAACGTTCCTTAAATTAAATAATTTTTTAATTATTTTTAGGGTAAAACACTTTTAAAAAGATCACCATTAATGACCATTAATGATGTTCTAAATAATTAAAAGCATGATTAAATTAAAAATTAAAGTGAAAAAAATAATATTCCGACCCACCCTTACTATTTTGAAAGTTGGACTTGGAGTAAATTATTTTGATTTACTCAAATTATATTTATTCGTTATAATATTCAAATGATACAAAATCTTTATATATCTAAATAATTCATATCCGAACACAAGTGCAAATTGTACCAAGAGTTCGAGATATAAA